ACTAACAAACTCGGGACAAACTAAAGAGAATCCATTCTCGATGAATAATAAAACGGAAAAGGAGAGCGAGAACGACATGGGAGGAGAGATTTCGAGAAGATACGATTGAGATTCGCGCGTACAGGCACGGGCTGTCGCAACAGTTGCCGACATGGCGATTTCGCGTAGAAGACATAGGAAAGCGGAAAGTATTTAAGCAAGTATACGAACAACGAGTCGGAATAGTCTATAACGAGGAATATACGGGGGACGGGAATTCCTTCTGAATCTTAATCTTTCGTAAGAACGAAGGGAAGGAAAGGAAAAGAAGGGAAAAACTCTGTTACGGTTATCTTTTCCCTACTGAAAAATATCGCAACGAATAAGCTACTAGAAATTAACTTTACGATTTATTATGCCTTTTTATCGATCGCAATCGTGCATTTGAATGGCGTGCATTCGCGGTATCGCGTTTAACCTTACGCCGAATTTTCCGCCCAACGTCTTACTTGTTACGCTGCAAGCGTACTATACGTAAACGTTACATTTTCTATTACAGCTACAATTTCCAATCTTTCTCTCTTTCTTAGTCTTTTCAAAGTCTTTTTCGATATTTCGACGTTTCGACGTTTCGATGTTTAGATAAAGCCGACGGTAATTGTACATCTATTGCACGGTGTACCGTTATCTCGATAAAGTTTACCAAGATAGAATTACGCTTGCCAAAGTGCAAATGACAAAGTACAAGTACGAAGAACGATAGGCCGGTGAAATAATAGTGGCGGTGCTGTTGATTCTCTTATCGATAATCCTTGTTGGACATGTGACATGGACAAATGTAAAAGGACACGCATCCGAGGGATTCGCATATCTGGTATCTGATGCGCACGTGTTTTGGAGAATAAATTTGTCGGAAGATGGCTACGCATCTTTCTTCGTCTATCTGTGCACGTGTATATACGTATCTGTCAGCTTTTCTATATCTAACTGTCCAAATCTTTTTCATCCTCTTTTTTTTTATCCTACAAATAACCACGCGTTATAACGTGCTCTGTTTCGCGATCTTTTATTTCGAAAGACTATCCCTGCCTATCGACGCATCTCTCGTGCATACGTTTCCATGCTAGGTGTCACGGTAAACGCTAAATTACCTTTTGCTTTTTTCCCATTTCTTTTTCACCTGTCATTTTCGATACATTACGGGTAGTCTTGCTAACACTCGAATAAATACATATAGTTGGTATAATAAATATAGGCAGTACAGCGATACCGGAGTAAAGAAAAATATTTCGATGCGATCGTTAACTCGTTAAAGGTAAAAAGCTGTTGGACCATTTCTACGCGTACCGTTTCATTTTATTCGCGCGACAACAGGCGAATAAAGAATTTCCTTCGTCTTCCTCGAGCTTAAAAATATCAAAGAAACGAAGAAATCAATTTTTTCCGCAAAGGTTTCCACGAAGAAATACGTTGTGGAGGAAAATTGAAAATTCATGCAATCGGTCGTTGAAAGTAAGTTTAATAACGCGTATTCTTCTCGTTGCTTCGCTTTTCGCCTGTATTATATAGTACGTGTATCGAGATAAAGAATAAATGAAACAAAAGCGAACGTTTGTACGCTTGAACCTTTTTTCTATGCATCTTCGAGTTTATTAAAGTACAGTCCTATTTGCGAGTCGACAATCTCGAAAAATGGCAGTGATGGCGCATCGTATTGAAAAATCGTATTGAAAAATCGACGGGAAAAAAGAAATTTATGTATTTCAGCCGAGCTGAAAAATATATATGTTGTACGCGACGTTGAAAATAAAGAGAGTTCCCACGTCCACGCGAAGCGTGTTTTGTAAACCTCTTACAAGTTTCCTTGCAAGTTTACTTTTCACATTTACTTAATACGTTAATTTTACTTGTCGATATACGCGTGTTACGCGTATGTACGCGGTATCTGCTGATATTCCTTCTAAAATCGCAACAATTATCGACTAATGCGTTTCCATTTTCGAATTTTCCACAGCCGAGAATTCGTTGGTGCAACAGTGGATAAGTATCCAATTACAAATGGATTAGCAGCAGATTAACTCGCAATGAGAAAACTCGCAATTTGACGAGAGTACACGGGTTAAGAGCTTTGAAACTGTATTTACTTGAAGCCTAGTTGATCATCGATTTGCGGTGTAAATTTCAAACGAGTTTCAAGTCGAGCATGGGCCCTGTAATAAACTCTTGGAATATTTTCTATCCCCAGTTTTCGTCCAACGATCGCCGTTATGTACGAAACGACAAGTTTCTCTCTCTCTCCCCCCTCCTCCTCCCCCTCTCGTCTATCTATAATATCAATCTATCCTTCTTTGAAATTCGTTGTTCTTTCTACGTTTGAGATGCGATCTCTACCCGCAAAGTTGTACACTGTATTCTACAAAGTTTATCACGATACATCCTTTGTTACGTTCAAAACTAAATTAAATCTTATCGCGTATATTTGACAAGGCCCAGAGTAACTTAGTACAAGTTCAAAATCGTATTTAGCTTTTAGTTCGTGCTCTAATTTCTAATAAATCCGATCATCTTCACGCCTATCTTTCCTACTACGATAAACTTTACGATGATTAACAACGATTTACCACGATATTATTGCGACGATACGTATAAAAATGAACCTTTTCGTTTGACCAAACCGAAATACAGATTAGGCGAAAAGGGAGGATGATGATCGTTTAAATTTGGAGACACGATATAGCGAATAGCGCCGAAGCGTTAACAAATTATTTCTGTTACTAGCTGGAAGCAAGTGGTACAAGTTGATGCGTGTCCAGCCTAAAGGAACTGTTAATAAAAGCCGGTGCTTTTATTATTAGTCGCGCGGATAATCGCGTTATATCGTATTCTTGGTCATACGAATAAAGTTGAAACATCGACTTATCGTTTCAACCGATATTTTCTAACTTTCATAATTATGTATCGTATAATAAAAACGCGTGCGCGTGTAATAGTATATGCAATAGTAGGCGCAGTTCGTATCGTGCAAAAGTTTTAATTAAATCTCCATCTTCGAAACCCCTAGATGATTATCTTTCTCGATGCGACTCTATATATGCAGGATAAAGAGATCATTTCCCGTGTCTTTATCTTTCCACCGCACATATCGTGCAATATCACTGCCGTTTTTCGTTACTTTTCGTTGCGTTATTTAATACAGATCGAAAGAAACACGATGAAAATGACACGATGTCCTGTTATGCGTGTTATGTATAACGAATTACGAAGTGAACTACACCGGCCTATGCCTGCAAATCGTTGCAATTTTTCCGCAATTTCGACAGATCTTGTACAGCTTGAAACGATATTCGATATGTAGAGATCACCGCGTTTAATATTCCATACGCGAGTGAATATTTTATTGGAATAATCGCGAGGGTGAGAACGATGGCAACTAATCTGATAGGAAGAAGCAAAGTTTCGATCTGTCCAGATGAAGGCTTATTCGATAAAGGGTATATTTACGGTTATCTCGATAAATACGAGAATAAAACGAACTTGATTATACCTAGAAACGAACAATTCCAAATGGAATTCGTATTCTCAGAGATAACCAAGTGAATGCTATACTAGCAAATTAGCGCGTCGCTTTGTTATCTTCTTCATAGGATCTTTGTGTCGCGTTGGTTACATTTAATACCCCTTGCTTATACCGCCTTTAATTTAATCGCGATTAAGCTAAAACGAAACTGAAATGAACTCGAATCGAAAGAATATACGTACGTCGTATGTACGTAGAAGCTCCTTGGATACTATGTCCGATAGACCTTTCGCCATTCCATTGTTTCGCGAGATGAATATTTTTAAGAAATTAATAATCATACTTTGTTAGTGAAACAATAAGACAATATACAACCATATTCGATGTTGTCCGATACTTTTGTATCGATAATACATTTTTATCCCGAGAAACGTTTCTAGCGATATAAAAACGCTGTATTCGAACATTCCATCAAACATTTTTTTTCTTCCTTTTCTCATTTTCTGATCATAAGTATACGATAGAGTCGATCGTACGGTGCATCGATCGTAATCTCGTATCCTCCTCGGAAGCCTGTTGCACTGGAAGACTGAAGACACGATAACTTTGTAACCGATTTTCGCCTAATTTTTTAGTTAAAAGCTTTCGTTTACTATGATATTTTCACGTATCTGCAAATTGTTATTAACAATATCTACCACTCTCTTTGTTCCCCCGTTCTCCTCATCTTTCTCCGTTCCGGCTCTTTTTCTCCCCGCTCTTTTACGTTCTTCCCCGTTTCATAAAAATACGTAGGATGCTGTACAGATATGTCTGTGTATAGGCATGCATTTACGGAAATACGAGCTGACTCGAACTTTTGAGCGCATACGTAGCTCGAAGGGTTTGCGAGAATGGCACCGAGAGAAGCATATTTAACGAGTTAAAGAAAAAGCAAACAACGAGGAAAAAGAAGGAAAGGAAAGCTATCAACGTATACGGTATACGTTGCCTCGATACACCGTGAGCTCCTGAACGTAGAAAAAATTTCAAGTTTATTCAATTAAAAGTTGATACGCACGCTGTTTCTTGCGTTTCGTGTAACGCCCGGAGCGATTTGGTCGCGACCCGTTGTTTGCGTTTCAAAGTCTTTCCAAACTATGAGACTAGCTTAACGGAGAATTATTATAGACACGATATTCGCTGTTTAATGACTCGTTGATGCAGCAAAATAGAACGAAATAAAGAAACAGATGGAAATTTCTTTATTTCGTTTCGGAAAACGAATCTCGATATCAACTAACCTACAAATACTTGGTGTTCGTGTGTGCATATATGTATGTGATATATATATATGATAAAAACTTACGCACGCACGCACGCACGCATACCTAGCACATAAACAAGTATACTATGCATATAGCAAATATACACATGTACAACATGTTTCTATGCATAAGTGAAGAAAAATAAGGAAAGAAAAAGGAATAAAGGTAGAAACGCGAAGAGATAAATATTCCTTTACCTTTGCAAATGAATGAAAAGATGTGCCAGTCGGTTAGATAGCGATGGTTTACTGACGGTTGATCGGCTGGAAATAAGGATTCGTCGAGTTACGGAGAAGCAGAGGGTGATTCAAAGTTGAGACCCGCTCGACGTGACGGACAACGATGTACTGACGCTCCGCGTGCTTCACCTTTACATAGGCCGGCGTAGTGACGTCAGGGATTTGCGGGGACCAATGAGAAAACGAAGCTTGCACCACCGTTGGGGATAGAAATTTAACCCCGTACCCCTTTCGTCGCAAATATCTCGGTGAAACTTGTAGCTATCTCGAATACGTAATGTTTGGGTAACCGCCGATTTCCTTTTCTCATCTTTCCACTTCTCCACTTCTCCACTTCTCCACTTCTCCACTTCTCCACTTCTCCACTTCTCCACTTCTCCATTTTTCCACTTCTCCACGCCGATATCTCTTCTCCTTCTTCCTTTGCCCTTTCCTTTCGTTTTCTTGCGTTTTCTTTGTTTCCCATTGTTCGTACTTAGGCACGGGGTTGCGAATCTATCGAATATCCTTATTTAGTCCTTATTAGGGATAGTGAAAATTGGTTACCGATTAATTCCAATGTTAACTGTCTTTAAAACATCCGATGCAGAGTTGCGATAAATATATTATCCAAGTCACAGACAGTGCATACTGTATCGGGTATGTCGGTAAGTAGTATTCGAATATCGGCTAACGATTAAACTTGCGAAACTTCTTCTACATTCGTGATAAACTTCACGAGTATATTTGCGGAGAAAGGCAAGTGCAAGAATATTCGAGTTAAAATCTGGTTAAATAAACGTACTCGAAGCGTCGTAGAAACATCGAGGAACTCGTGGAATTTAACGTTAGGAAATCTAATGTTCGATTTAGCCCATACAGAGAAAAGGTATATAATGTTTTCCAGTGAAATGAACAATATGTTAGATTATATAGGCGAAAGATAGGCGAAAGATAGGCGAAAGATAGGCGAAAGATAGATAGACGGAATCGTAAAAACAGATGTCTTTGTTGTCGATCAAATCACGGAACAGAGATATCGCATTAATACTCTTCGAAACGTTTGAAACAGTTCGAAACGGGAACATTTTTAATTACGATTATCTACCCTATTTCTAGGATATATTGTAATATATAAATCGAACCGTAACGTTATCAGTTTCGCAATTGCGCGTACCGTGTACTACGTAAAATGACCACCGTAATGATTTTCCTTCGTTCCAAGAATCATACGTGATAATGATAAACGTAACATCGTTAATTGGATAATATGTTCTGTACTTTCTAGCATAGATGAACATTCGATTTTATCAAGAGGGAAGATAGCGAAGGAATGGGAGAAAGGCAAGGAGGCAGCAAAGTTGGAGTTGTTGGAGAGCGTTTGCTATGCGACAGTTTATAAGAAAAGAAATTGGTATTAGTTACACGGTCGATCTACCGTGATGGCGCACGGTCGCGCCCCGTTACCATCTTCCAAGAAGAAAAATGCACCCTTGCGACTACTGCTCGTACCTTCCCCGATTCTTTCGTAACTCGATAGTAAAATTTCTGTTCGTATTATGAATAGAAATAGACACGTTCGTTCCACGCATTTGCGGAAAAAGCTTGCTTCTCAAGTTCCAAACTTCCTATTAATTGCAACAGTTCAATTTGATTTTTTTCATATCAAGTGCCGGACAAAATATAAGTAGCGCGCAGTACGTGCACGATATATCCTTGTACTTCGAGAGAGTGCAATGATCGTATACACTCGGAATCGATGATATGCACACATCCTCGGAAGACCATGTTCGTTGTACGAAACATTCTCAAGCCGCCGATTTAACCGTAATAAGACGATCATGGTCGATTCTACTTAAGTACGCGTTGAACGCGCGCGTTGCACGTCCCGACCATGTATCCTCGCGGATATGGAAAATGGTTCACCATTCGTTTCATTTTTCAATGAATAATTCATTAAATCCGGCGAAAAGGAAAAGGAAAGAGAGTAAGAAGCAGAATTTTAATTAATGCCTTATGTTGCGGTAAGAGTAATAAATGTCTTATGTGTGTTGTTGACCCCCATGCTTTTCGGTGTTTAACCTTTCGAAAGATTATTAAAGTCGTACAATTTTAAAACTTGCATACGCGCTATTTGGATAGACACTAACGAGAACGTACCATATAGGCGTACACGAATGAGAAGTCGCTTCGGGTGACACTCGACGATCAATTACATTTCTCCTCCTCTTATCGAAGAAATTGTGCACTGACGGATCAAGCTTGATGACGAAGAAAAGCCGGGGGCTGCAGTAAACGAGAATCCTTATTTATCCCGTTCCTCCCAGAGACGTAGCTTATCACCTAAGATCCTGTTTATCATCGAAACGGAAGTGCAGCGCGCTCGTATCGAATCGATTTTCATTGAACCAGCTACTACCGCAACTCTTCCGCGGCTTCGTTAAAATGAATCTCGATCGATATCTTTTTCCTCCAATATCCAATCGCGGCATTGTATTCGTTAATAAGACAAAAACAAAAAAATAAATAATAAAAAGAAAATCGAAAGCGACAAAGGAAGCAGAAGAGGAGGAAGAAGAGGAAGAAGAGGAAAAAGAAGAAGAAAATGTAAAAGGGAAATGAAAGGACTAAATTCAGACAAAATATAAAAATTGTCGCAAATATACACTTGTATAATCTACTTAATTGAACTGCAACGATATCGATTCTGCGACGTATCGAGCTTCTTCGATTCTTGTATCGTTCATCTCGTTTATCTCTTGTATCTTATATTTTCTAAATATATATATGCGATACGCAGCATAAGCAAATAGCTTATTTCAGTTTTAAACGAACCGGTAAGCTTAATGAGACCGAAGCACGTACAACATCCGTAGCTATACTCTGATCATACCTAGAGAGATACAGTTCGGTCTCTTTTGTTGTTCCATACACGTACGAACGATAATTTGTTTTCCTTCCTATATAACTTCTGCTAGATCGTGTTAAAACGCACGCAAGATCAAAACATACTCGTATACGATTGAATAATTATTTTTCCACATAAATAACGCGAATATATTATTCGATTAAACGTGAAATATTTGACGATAAACGAATAGATAATGTAACGGTATAAATATATCACGCTTACATATAAATTGCTTTTATTGTAAAATTACAATGTAGCGATTATAATTATTATATCGATGACAATTAAAAATATAGTAGGGTTTGGGTTAGAAAAGTTGACAAGCGGTCAACGCTGAGGTTAGAATAGCGGTCAAAAGAGTATGATAAATGTAAGCTTTACGTGTGATTTCGAATTACGATTATGTTCGTATGGACAAAGCTAAAAGAGAAATTAATATGGAATAAACAGATCGCGTATAAATATTTCGAGACGAGTGAGTTCGAAATTGTCGCGACCAATAGAATAGAATGTGCACTCTGGCGGTTGGTGTGCGAGTTAAAAAGAAACGTCAGCGTCCATGTTGATATACAAGTTCAGTTGTCTGCTGGGTATATACGACGCTTCAGGTAACCTCAATGATTCGTTGGTGTACACGTTGAAGTAAGGTGTTAAGTCATCACGAAGTAAGGAACAACACTACGCGATGGACGACAAGTTCCAAGGTTTGAAAACGAATGAACAGATTATAGAGGAACTTACGAAAGATCTGGAAAGTTCCTGCATCGCGGTAAATGACAATCATTCCGCGTCGAAAGATGATATCGCGACGAATATCCCGACGAAATCTGCGAGTATAAAAGATAGTTATCATTCGGACAATCGTCACACATCTACGAAACATGTAGAACATACAGAAGAAAGTAGCGCTGACAATAAGTGTGGAAAAGATGACGAACATGATACGAGTCGTCCAAAAGATCGCATGGACGAAGACTCGTGTCTGAAAGACAGAGAATTGACACTTTCCGAAGATGAGAAAAAAGTTTGTATTTATTTATGAAATTTAATGGATTTACCAAGTTTACAGGCAATCAATCTATACTGTTAAATTTGTACCTTTTTTTCTTCTTTCCTTTCTCTTCCCTTTCTTTTTTCTTTTTTCTTTTTTCTTTTTTTTTTTTTCTTTTATCTTTTTTCTCATAGATCCTTAAAGCAGAAGCGGAAGAGTATAAAGATAAGGGAAATGATTTCTTTAAATGCGAAGAGTATCATCAGGCAATATCTATGTATACCCATGGAATACAAACCTGCCCGTTAGCCTATAGCAAAGAGAGGTCCATTTTGTATGCCAATAGAGCTGCTGCAAAGTTAAAATGTCTGGTAATGCTATTATTTAAAGAATATTATTATAACATCGAAAAGAAACGACTGATTTTTCATCCAGGCTCTACTATTTATACGATACTATTTAAGTAGGACAAGGAATCCGCTATATCCGACTGCACAAAAGCCATAGAATTAAATCCAAGTTACGTGAAGGTATACGGTAGAAGGGCTCGCCTGTACGAAGAGACAGAAAAGTTGGACGAAGCTTTGGAAGACTACAAAAAGATTTTAACGTTTGATCCTAGTCACGTAGAGGCAAACTATGCGATTCGAGTAAATACTAAGATATAATAATCTTCCTTATTTTCGCTATATTCCCGACATTAATATATCAAATCTTTTTACAGAGATTACCTCCGTTGATTCACGAGAGGAATGAAAAGTTAAAAACAGAAATGCTTGGTAAACTGAAGGATTTGGGGAATATGTTTCTGAAACCTTTAGGGCTTTCTACGAATAATTTTGAATTGCAACAAGATCCAAATAGTGGTAGTTATTCCGTCAAGTTTCATCAGAATCCTCGGAATTGATACATTAACCAGTGTATGTTGGTATAAGAATGAATTTCTGAAAATGTGTCGCGAAATATTTATACATACCTTATGTAGATTCTGTTCGAATGCTGTGTATTTGTTGTAATAAAGATATCTATAAACGTTACGGTAGATATTCAGCAGGCGATATCGATATTTACGTTTGCACGAGAACCTCGTGAAATCTGATTGTTCGATTCTAACCATAATACGAAGTTAGCTTCTTTCGCTATCAATGAATTATCGTAAGTTGAAAAGTTTGTTATAAAATGTACGATGTTGTGATCGATCATTGGTTGTGACACTAGGTTTACCGATTATAAACAGTATGTGTACGGTTTTACGGTTGTTGAAAACGATATGATATTTGTCATACTTTTTTACACATGAATTTCTTTTACAAATGCGCGTTGTTTGTTACATTGTTGATTTATAGTTTCCTTGGTACCTATGGCAGTTAATGTTTCGATCGATAGCACCGAATGATTAATTAACATCTCGAAATATCTTTCGTTTCCAAATTAACATGGGAACGTTTATGAAATTGTTGCAGTTTTCTAAATTTCTCGATGTCTTTGCCATTTATCCTGCAACTTGAACAATTAACTCCTGTTTCGTATGCATGTATGTATATACAAGTTGAACAAACTATAAGAAAAGAGCTATTTTTGTCTTGCACAATGGAAAGCGCGGCGAACACGAGCGAATGTACGTACGACTCCGAAGCGTGACAGATGCAACGGAACGACTGCGAATGGATGGAAGAACAGGCCACTTGTGATGATGTATATGACATGACACATGGTATACATGGGCATCGCGAAGATGGGGATAGGTATAATTCACATTGCCTGTTACGTTTTAACCATTTCCTATTTTCCCGCTAAAATCGTCTTGCCCGCGTTCCTGCATATCCTGTACATGTGTATTTCCTCCACTTTCTTCGATTTTTCATTCATACTTGTACGTTACGATCGCATTAACCACGATTATTTCCCGTTTTTCCTCTGTTTACTGTCAGTGACACTTGATTCAATTTCCATTTTTGTCATGGCCCATGTACATATCGGATCGCGGCACCATGACAGTAGCGCGCAGGCGTATTCACGTGATACACTTGATATCAGAGGGATGAGAACAAAGGAGAAAGAGATACGAGAAACGTGCGCTCGTGTTTAGATGGATACGTATGAGGGTGGTTTTCTGTGTTGGTGTAGTTGCGCGTGCGCACGTGTAGGCATTGGTGGAAGGTATAGGTATGGGGAACAAAAGAGAAAGAGAGAGAGAGTGCGTGAGTGGACGGGAAGGGGAAGCGAGAGTAACAGCGGCGGCGGCGGCGGTGGCAGCAGCAGCGGCGATGTGCGAGGAGAAGCGAGGAAGGAAGCTTCACTTGCGAGTAGCACATAAACGCAGTGAAACAGGCGCTCGCAGTCGAGCGACAAACGATAAACGGTGTATCGGTCGGTGGATGGTATGTGCGAGGAAGGATCGTTAAAGCGAAACGCTTGTATGCGCGTATAAGGGTGACCCGTTACACGCATACACGTCCGCATTGAAAACGTACATTGCGACTAAATTGGAAATTCAAGGAAAAAAGAAACGAAAGCAAGGTAAAGGAGCAAAGTTGAAGAAATATAACGGATGCAAAAAGCAAGTGACAGCAAAAGGGGTGGGTAGAGTAAGGATACAGAGAGAGATGAAGGTGTGTGTGTGTGTGTGGGGGGGGGG